CTAGTAGCGATCAGCGAAGAGGCGGGGCCAGGAGCTCGGACTCGACCCCCGCAACCTCAACTAGGTGAGTACCCACGCACACACACACACACACACACACACACACACACACACACACACACACACACACACACACACACACACACACACACACACACACACACGCACACACACACACACACACACACACACACCCGCACACACACACACACACACACAAACACACACACACACACACACACACACACACACACACACACACACACACACACACACACACGCACACACACACACACACACACACACACACACACACCCGCACACACACACACACACACACACACACACACACACACACACACACACACACACACACACACACACACACACACACACACACACACAGATCGGACACAGCAACAAAGGGACACAGTTGGAAGTTGAAGACACAGATGAATCACAGGGATGTTAGGAAATATTTCTTCAGCCACAAAGTAGTCAGGAAGTAGAATAGTTTGGGAAGCGATGTAGTGGAGGCAGGATCCATACATAGTTTTAACCAGAGGTATGATAAAGCTCAAGATTCAGTGAGAGTGACCTAGTAGCGACCAGTGAAGAGGCGGGGCCAGGAGCTTGGAATCGACCCCTGCAACCTCAACTAGGTGAGTACAACTAGGTGAGTACACACACACACACACACACACACACACACACACACACACACACACACACATACACACACACACACACACACACACACACACACACACACACACATACACATACACATATATACATTCATATCAAGCTATAAACCACCCTCGGTCTGCATCAACTCTTGCTCTCAGGATATATACACAAAGACAGTCCTCAGAATTTATATAATATTGGGGCGATAATATGTTAATGAGAATTTCATATGTTATTCGTTCCTATTTCAAAAGTGCTTTCAAATATTTGGATGGTGAAATCCTTTGAGAGGAGCCACATATTGTAATATGTGGCTCCTCTTTTTGGAAGGAGAGTTCCTTGTTGTGGTAAAAAGGCTTTCTGTTTGAGGAACGGGACCTTCCAGCCTTCATCCTCTGACCGACCCTAATTACCCCTCACTCTTCCCCTTCCTGCCCCATCCTTCCTTTCCTATCCCTTCTTATTTCCCCCCTCCCCTTACCTTTCCTCCCTTTCCTACTTTTGGCCTTCGGTTTCTTCTCCTCAGGAATTGTAACTCGTAGGTTAGGGGATGGGTAACGTTTTCCGTCCCCTTCCATTTAGGTCCTTGGTGGTGGTGTAGTTTTCCGTAGAACTGGGATCATCAGGGGATGTCCCAATCCCTCTCTGGTTTCCCGGGGGGCGGCTTGTGATGAACTTCTAGTGACGGGTGTATCTCTAGAGGCTTCTTGTCGGATTCCGGGAGGTGGTAGCAGAAGGATAGGTATGCCTTGTGGCAGATTTCCGATTGCCCACTCATGTCCACAGAGGTGGCTCGGTTAATGTGAGGTTGATATCCTGGATAATATGCGGCCCTTTTATTCCTCCTAGGAGCTAACCCTCCACGTTCCTCTTTTCCCTTTTCATTTTTTTTTCTTTTCTCTATTTTTTGGGAAAAACAAAGGACAAGTGACCTAACCATGGAGTCCCATGTCCATAATACTTTTCCTAACGAACCCTTTTCTGCTCTGGCTTCCTCTCCCGACCCTCCCTCGTTATCGGACCATTCTTCGGACCTTTCTAACACCCCGGTACCTCCTGCAGGTAACATTTCGTTGCCCGACCCTGGTACCGGGTTTCCACCTAACTCTTTTTATATATCCGACCTCTGCATGTCTTTGACCATGCTTCCGGCTCCTGCATCTACGGAGCGATGATTCTCAGATCGCCCGCACATCTTAGGACGGACCACCTCTGGTCCCACACTTCAACGACCACGACCCTTAACTGATACCACTACTTTCATTACCTCTCCTTCTTCCCAGAAAAAGTAGCACCACACTCACTCCCCTTACAAAATACGTTTCAAAATATTCAATGAATTAAGTTTTTCACTCTGCAACCGACACCTCCCACTGACATTCTTTCTGATCATAGTATCAGAAAGGCACTCCTTCGCAATGTTGGTCAAAAAATTTTCAACAGCTCTTAAGAGTGGTTCACACATCGTCACCGTGCGAAATGCTGGCTAGGCTCACAATCTTTCCTTTCTTACCTCTATAGACGATATTCCTGTCACGATTCGAAAACACATTTCTCTCAATTCTTGCAATGGTTCCATTGTTTTGCCTCATACCATTATTCACCGTGATTTCTGGACATGTGATGCTGACATTCTGGAGAAACCTGAGCTCTAAAACCTCCCAATTCTCAAAGTGGACACATATATACTACCTGTCCGAGGGTGGAGACGCTTCCTCTGCACTGTAGTTCACTTAACTTTTGACTGCAGAGAACTTCCGTTCTCAGTTTATATTGTGGGACGCGAGAGTTGATCCCTACACCACGACAATGTAGAAATTGCTGGCATTTTAGCCACCCAGAAAAATATTACAGTTCCATGGCAAAATGTAGAGTCTGTGGCACGGCCGACCATACCAGTACACCCTGCAGCCTACCTCCCTCTTACTTTAATTGTAATGAGGCTCACTTGTCTTATTCACGCCGTTGCCAGGTTTACTTAAAATAACGAGAAATCTGCTGTCTCAAAGAGAAATAGGGTTTAACTTACGCCATGACAGTCTCTCATCTCTGCCTCCAAGGAAGACTTCGACGACTTTCTTATTCTAGAGTTACTAAGCGGCCTCCAGCCTCGGTGGTACCTACTTCCATAATCTCTGTGGTCACAGTTTCCAGAGTCACCTCTGTTTCTAACTTTTTTGTAGCCCTGAGTCTTTATCTTGTCCTTGAGTCTTCATCTTCTTGCTCACATGTATCTATGTCTACAAGACCTCCCACACCTACTTCTCCAAAGTCTAAAACATCCTCAAAGTTCAAATCTCCTATATCCCTTCCTTCACTTATCCTTCCCAAACATTTTTCCTTACCAGACTCTGCCTATTACTTACCTATTATGGGTGTGAAGGTTCATCCTCCCCCTCGTATAGTTTCCTCCTCTCCTATCCCCTCCCAAGTTTCTTCCTCTCCTATTCCCTCCCAAGTTCCTTCCCAAGTTAACTTTAACCTCTCATCCCCCCCCCCTTCTTTGGTAACTTCCATCGTCTATCCAATCTTTACTCACCCTCCTCCTTCTATCTCCAATGTCGCACTACCTACAACTTCCTTGTCCTTGTCCTCTGAAGCACTTGAAGCTATCTCTGAATATATTGAAGAGAGAAAAACCAGTGATGGACACTGATCCATCTCGTCTAAACCATCTATACAACTTCTTTCTTCACAGTGCTCCAATCCTTCACTACTTTCTCGCTTTCTGCTACCGCTACGTGTAGACATTATTAACTCTCCTAGTCTGTAGACACCTATTGCTTCATGTTACCAGTATACTTCTTTTCGCAAATCATGGCTTATTTACAGTGTAATATTCGAGGCCTGAGGGGTAACCAGTTTTCCCTGTTTGTGTCTGTTTACAAGAACCTAAATTACGCTCCGCTCTTATCCATCCCGTCTCGGGCTACATTTGATTGTAATCATCGAATCCTTTTCCTGATGGAACTTTCAATGAAAGCGCACTTTTTGTACACACTGGCATACCACGCTATCAGATCTTTGTTCATACTTCGCTGCATTACACTGCAGTACGCATCTACTTGAACAAGTGGTATGCAGTCTGCTCTTTGTATCTTTCTCCTTCTCGAGAATGAATTGAGTTTTTATGGAATATTGGAGACACGGGAAAGGCCTTACATAGAGAATAGAAGCAGTAGAGATATAATACCCATCTGTGACAAAAAAATCAACTGATTCGTCAGAATTTAATATCAATGAGCATTTGTAAATTATCTAATAAACAACATACGGAGGATAACCATTATCAATAAACCATAACCTAGAATTACACACGAAACAGTGTTGAAGAGGTATTAGAATTTTTTCACAAAGAGTGGCAGATGGCTGGAACGAAATAAGAGAAGAATAACATATACCAAAACCATAGTTAGCTGATTAGTTAGGCTTAAAACCTATAGGTTACTTGAAGGATTATTAAGGATACATATCACTGAGAAATTTAAACATTTTGTTTGTTAAATTTATAACAAAAGACAGGACACAGGAGCATATGCTCCAGTTCAGTAACTACAGAGAGCTTATTATACAATCATGCACTTATTTGTTTAATTTAATTAAAAACAGTTTGCATATTTAATTGCATTCTATAGTGTGCCTGGTTATATGAGCTAATGCTTTTGTGTATTAACAGTAGCGAGCAAATAACATTTTTGCTGCTTCAGCAACTTGTCCGTGAAAGGACTTCTTTTCACATTATTATTATTATGGTTATTATTATTATTATTATTATTATTATTATTATTATTATTATTATTATTATTATATTATTAGTTAGGTTGGTGTAGTACCCTGTTATTCCTCAACTTTTCTTGTTATTCAAATTGCATATACGTTGCATATACCTCTAAACAGCCTCTTCTTGTATTGAATTTATCATTAGCTTCATTTTTTTCGTAATTTTTTTAGGTAATTTCTCTGGAATTTCCTTTATGAATCCTTATTGATTATTTTTCTGCACCCTTACTGATTATCACCCAGTCTTTTATGTTTGGTGTTTATCTCTCATTTTCCTTTACTTTCTTTATCGTCTTACTGTTCATCTTCGCCTCACTGAATGTTCTCTTACTTTTTCTCATTTTTTTTTATAAAGACACAGGTATGAAGACGAAGCATACCTTTGAACAATGTATCACTCTACTGAAGAATTCTCCTGCATTTCTATCAGCGATGCGACAATCAACCAGCTCTGCCCAGTGTTGCTATCCATCAAATGTGTAACTAACTCTATTCTCTTTCTCTCTCCCTCGTGGCTGGTGCCACGCCAGGTACCAACCAGTACGTGCTGGAGAGCTCAACAAGGGGTCATCTCTCACCTCTGCCACCTTGACCAACGAATACCTTAATACAGAGCTTCTGGCATACAGTACCAAGCGTTCCCACGACCCATTCATACGCGGCTCTGTCGTGTAGGAGACGCACACGACCAGTTCAGCCCGGGACTTCGAAATCGACATCGAGATGCAATCACAGGATGCTTAGCTCAGAGGGGCCATCGACAAGAGACATCCTCCACGAAGAATATGGTCGTCACGAAAGGCAGATAAGACTGGTTGCTTTGAGGGAAGGAAAGGAGACTTTAGATCTGTCCCTTGTGTGAAAATATATAAATATATTAAATTTCCACATTGAAAACAGGAAAAACCTGAGTATTTTCAGGTGCTTACATTCATATTGCATAGAGAGGAAGAAAATGTAAAGACACGTTAGTTAGTTATGTATAATAACACATAAGATGTCAGTTCTAATGCAAGAGATCGTTGAGAAAGAAATAAGATGGGTGAATCGAGTGATGTGCAGTGTAAAAATACCTACCTGGCAGACTATTTGAGTATATTAATGTGAGACCTCAAGCATGCGAGGCGGGGAATTTGCAAGCGCTTGGGGTTTAAAAAGACGTCCATGCCATTCCAAACCTTCATGTGACGATCAGTTGTGGAGAATGAGAGGAAAGAAAGTACTCGAAGATAAATATGGCATCCGTAGAAGAAAAATAAAGAGGTGTAAGGAATCATTTGTGCAAAAGCAGTAGAGTAAGCAAATACTGACAAAGATTACCAGTCTTTGCTGGCACACATACAATTTGTGGTGAGCAATATGTCTCATCTTTGTCGACTAGAAAAAAAAGACGATAGGTCGTCCTGGGTAGATACAAGGTCACAGTGACAGCAAAACACATACACACTGAGAACAGCTTCTGTGTACTTACTTATGACTGGCATTATAGGCTAGTGATTGCATGTTAAATGATTTCGAGAAAACTATACCAGAGAGGAGTGTATGAGGAAAGTATGAGCCACATATAATTGTGAGTCACAACGAATTTAGTCAAATAACCAAGGATAATAAACGCTAATTTTTATCTCTTTCTCTATCTCCTTCCTCTCTCTCTCTCTCTATCTCTCTCTCTCTCTCTCTCTCTCTCTCTCTCTCTCTCTCTCTCTCTCTCTCTCTCTCTCTCTCTCTCTCTCTCTCTCTCTCTCTCTCTCTCTCTGACACTTCTGTCCATGCTGATCTGTCTCTTGCAGAAATGTGTTCTATGATTGTATTTATGTGAATAAAGTAAGTTTCATCTGTAATTATATATGTTCACTTTACAATTGTGTTTGGTACCAGAATGAAGGTGAGCAGGGAGCAAGTGGGTACTAAAGTGTATATTTAAGTGTCTTTACCTATGGTCTCAATTAGGATTCTCTGGCAACCGCCAGATTTACTGGCAACATAATTAACGAATTAAAGACAGTGCTGAACAAGCCTTTATTATAGATAACATTTTGCTAAGGATTATGTTTCATCAAGCCTTGAAATGGCATAATCTTGCGCGAGCGTCGTCTTTTGCAAAGGCTTCGTTTTTTATTAGGAGAGTCTATACTTGCTTGTCGACTTGTTGCCCCAGTTGCCAGTCAACTTAATCCTGGCCTACACGTATTAATTTGATGTCTGTGACTTGCTCACAAGTCTCCGGTCCTCAACTAATGGTTGTGATATGCCCTGGCTGAGCTTATAATACGTATCTTAAGTGATGTAAATAAGTACTCTAAGTACATTTACGCAGACAAACATAGAAATATTTTGCACACAGATTCAGCGTAATAATTTGAATCAATCAATAAAGTGCAGTTATAAATACGGACATATATTTATTTTGCACATGGCGGCCAAGTGATTTTAATACACTCATATAGGTATATAGGTTTGAAGTGTTTAGTATTGGCAAAAATAGCGTGTTTATATAGTCATTTGGAAGATGTAAGGCCGTATGGGTCAGAGATAGCCTTGGAAAGGCAAGGAAACCAAGTTCCATCTGGAAAATGGAAGAATAACACCATTCCTTGAATGAGAACCTCTTACTAGCATAAATGCAAGGAAATTTCCAGGAAAATACTAGGAATAGGTGGCATGAGCTGTTTGATTGTCCTTCAAACAAGTGACAGACTGTAACTAGAAACTACTAAAACAATATACTCAATAATAACATTATATTATTAATAGTAAAGTGATGTTATGGTAAACTTTAATCAAAGTACTATTCCACGACTATATTCAAGTGATTTATATTTGTTCTTTGTAAGATGCCACTCAACGTGATTATTATTATTATTATTATTATTATTATTATTATTATTATTATTATTATTATTATTATTATTATTATTATTGTTTATGTTAGTAGTAGTAGTAATAGTAGTGGTAGTAATAGTAGTAGTAGTAGTATCAATCTTAATAGCAATAATATTATTACTATTAAGAGTATTTCTATTATTTTATTATTATTATTATTATTATTATTATTATTATTATTATTATTATTATTATTATTATTATTATTCATAAATGCATGCATTAATCAATCGTAAGCGTAGAAAGTATCGTGTCGTTGTATTAACATTGTCAGTAAGCAAGTCCTCAAAGTAAGCTCACCTTAAAATACGTAAATTGCTGTCTTTACTGTTGCACCCGCTGACACCGTCTCCTTGTATCTCACAGCGCTCTACTACTCTCATAATTAATAATAATAATAATAATAATAATAATAATAATAATAATAATAATAATAATAATGATAATAATAATAATAATAATAATAATAATAATAATAATAATAATAATTAAAGTAATAATAATAATAATAATAATAATAATAATAATAATAATAATAATAATAATAATAATATAATAATAATAATAATAATAATAAAAATAATAATAATACTTCCTACTCTGGTGTGAAACGTGGCGTGTAACAAAAAACTTTTCTCATTTAGTTTTGTAAATGTAATAAATCGCACAATACGATCAACACAAATTTTAATCATTGGTATAAAAATAACTTACATCTCTGAGATCAAGTTATACCATAACATAATGTGACAAGTAAAACTAATAGGTAAAGCAAATATGAGATAAACATCTAAATATCGAATATATAATATAGATATTTAAATTATGAGAAGTGAAGAAAAAACTGACCAAACAGAAGACTGTATACATCAAGATATATATATATATATATATATAAACATTTCAGTGAATATAAACTGAGTTACTCTAATCACTACAATAGAGACCAAAATATTCTGTATTAACAGTGAACATGCAGCTTAAATTACCATTTCTATAGCCGATAGTTTTAAACCAAATTAACCAGTAAGGACTCATCATATGGGCAATCTATTAAAATTATCCACATTCATCAGTACAAAATATCTCCCAAATTTTGGTTTTATCTGAAGATCCACTTCAAGCGACGGGAACAATCGCAAATCGATCGATAATAATTTAGTGATTATCCCACTGTTGAATATTGATTATATTTCTACATTACGAAAAGGTTAAATTTCAGAGAACTCGTTAGATATAATGGAATTCGTTAGATTAAAAGAAAAACTCTTTAAATTGAGAAACGCTTTAGATTTTATGCAACGAGTTCAACTTCACTAATAAAGACAAAGACTGTAACTTATGGAACGGTAGAAATGTAGGTCTTCGCGAAATAGACGTTATTTCTTTGGGATGCAGCCCTGACCTTAGTAATGAAGCTCTTACCATAGGAATGGAGCCCTGGCAAGAGAAATGTAGGTGTAGTCCTAGGAATGGAGCCCTGGCAGTAGGAATGGAGGTATGGCTGTAATAATGGAGCAAAGGCTCTACAATTGGAGCTCTGTCCAAAAGAATGGAATCCTGGCAGTGGGAATAGAGGACCAAATCTAGTAATGGAGCTCTGGAATGAGATCCTGGTAGGAACAATGGAACCCTGAGATTAGGAATGGGGTATTGACCCTAGGAATGAAACTTCGGCTGAAGGACCGGAACCCTAGCCCTAAAAAGACTCTTGGTCCTAGCAATTCATCCCTAGCCTTTGGAACAGTGCCAAGGAGAGTTCTCTCCGAGATGACAGAAAGAAGCAGAAAAGTAATTAAAATGTGGCAAGAGCGTCCCGTAGACTTATATCCATCACTCCCGATTATTCTCAACTGACTGATGTTGAAGCTCTATCGAGGAAGAACATGTGATGACGTTTCTTAGACCATTATCTAGATGCGACTTAATAAACGTTCAAGAAAGGACCGAAACGTCTTCTAATGTTAACTACCCAAATTGACTTTTAGTTGTGAGTTATCCCACCTACGTCTTTTTTTAAGCATTAATTTTAATTTTCTAAGAATCTTTTTTAATTCTTTTGAAATCACACAAAAACACCGAAGATAACGATAAAACGGCAATAACTTTTAGTAATAATGTACAAAATAATAATAATAAATAATAATAATAATATAATAATAATAATAATAATAATAATAATAATAATAATAATAATATAATAATAATAATAATAATAATAATAATAATAATATAATATATATAATAATAATAATAATAATAATAATAATAATAATAATAATAATATTAATAATAAAAATAATAGTAATAGCAAACTCTGAATGAGTGGTTTTAAATGTTACAGCGAGGACGAAGCTGGAGGCAGTGATGTCAGTAACTGAGAGCAGTGTACAATGTGAATACTCACTTAACAATACGAAAAGTATTGCTCAGAGAGTTGAAGAGGGATTAATGAAGTGGTCTGGACATTTAGAGAGGAAAGAGAATAACAGGACGGGAAGGCGGGGTAGGGGTCGTCCTAGGAAAGGTTGGAAGGAGGGGGGTAAAGGAGGTTTTTCATGCGAGGGGCTTGGACATTCAACAGGCGTGTGTAACTGCGTTTCGTAGGAGTGGCTTCAATTGATTTTCATAAGTTGACTTACGGTTG